TTGTGGATAAATCCAAGTCTTTCTTTCAAGTTGGAATCCAGTTCACATACCGATTTCACAACTTTCTTCCCGTCTGAGTCCAAGTGGAAAGTGGGGTAAACCGCAAAATGGATTCTTGAAGCTCAACGTCGACGCAACAGTTGACACGACCAAGAGAAATCTGGGATTCAGATGGGTTCTACGGAATGATTAAGGCAAATTTGTAGCAGCCTCCAATGTCTCAAGGACTAGACTTTACTTCCATGGAAGCTGAAGTTCTGGCAATTTAGGAAGCTCTTAGCTGGCTCAAAAGACTCAACATCGACAAAGTTCAAGTGAAATCTGATGCACTTACTATGGTTCAATCAATCAATTCTGAGAGCCAAACTTCTTTTGATCTTATCATCATTGATGTTAGAAATTTATTGAGTCAACTAGTTTTTCTACGCGCTTTGCGCGAAGAGGATAATGCCCAATAATTATTTTTAATAAGTATTTTAAAGTATATCAATACAATATTATATAGGAGATCTTCATGCATAGGTAATAAATGTTGAATTTATTTATTTAAATCGGTAATTTAAAGTATATAAATGCAATATAATATATGTGAGATTGATTATAATTGTCACTAAAATAAATGTTTGTAACTTTGTAATAACGCTAGTTTAAATACTTAGTCTTAAAACGATAGTTTAAATAAATAATACTTTTGGTTTAAATTTCTCAAATTCTTCTTAATTCTCTTTTGGGTAGCATTGTTATTGTTTTCATCTTCAGTACATGTCCTCTTTTTTTTGTGTTTTTTTTTTTTTTTTTTTGGTTTTTTATTGGTAGTGTGTCATGTGCAATTAGGTTACTAGTAGCAGCATAGAGGGATTCATCATGCAATGAGATTATGGTGTAGGAAGTTTTGTTGTGTATATGACTGAGATTTTAGTTGTAATATGAACTCTTTAGCGTACAAACACCTATTGATATTTAGTAGTGATAGTTTTTTCCCTACATGTTTCATGTGTTGTGAGATGTGTGTCGTAGGTTATCATGTGAAAGTATTGAACAAAATATAAATATTTATTATATTTGTATAAAATACTTGGTAAATAAATATATAACATATTTTGTATTATAACTTTGATATTTTTTTTTGAATGCTACTAGCTATATTTTGTATTATAACTTTGATACTACTAGCTCTATTACATTGTAGTATCTGTTCATATACTTTCTCAACCTACTAAAACACAAAAAGTTAATAACGCCTCCACTAAGCCTTGAACTCACAACCTTCTAAATGGAAGTCCAACCCGAGTACCATTGGACCACATAGTCCTGGTATAACTTTGATATTTAATTACAAGAACCACATAGTCCTGGTATAACTTTGATATTTAATTACAAGATAATGTAAAAAAGAAGACAATAAACAATGTAATGAATATAATAAATTAATAAATTTGAAGGTAAGGAATCTTTGAATTGTAGAAAATAAAGATAATATAACTAATGAAATTATATTTCTTTTAAGTTTTTTTATAATAAATAATTTTTTTTTAAATAAAGAATTATAGACATCTAATTCTAAATTAATTAAATGCATATGTATTATTTTTTGTTGTAACTACTAATTTATTTAATGAGTTAATACCCAAAATCGTCCTCGACTATAGTGGTTTTTCTCAATTTCGTCCTAAATGACTTTGGTGACCTAATATCGTCCCAGACTTTTGTGTTTCGCTTAATTTAGTCCTAGACTTTTGTGTTTTTGCTCAATTTAGTCCCTCATTTGTTATTCTGTCCATTTGGTGTTAAATAAATAGACAATTCAGTAATTTTAATATTAGCATATCTTTACTCATAGACATGTGAACTGCGAAATCCTTTTTTTTTTACGAATTACTCCCAGAATTACTCCTAAAACTGCGAATATAAAATTTGATTTGCAGGTCCGGGAGTAATTCTGGGTGTAATTCGTACAAGAAAGAGGAATTTCGCACTTCACAAGTTGAAAGTAAAGAGAGATCAATATTGATATTACTGAATTGTCTCTTAATTTAACACCAATTTGACGGAATAACAAATGGAGGACTAAATTGAGCGAAACACAAAAGTCTGGGACGATATTAGGTCACTAAAGTCGTTTAGGACGAAATTGAGAAAAACCACTATAGTCGAGGACGATTTTGGGTATTAACTCTTTATTTAATTCATAAGAGTAATAAAGTGTCGTACATACTTTTCTTCAACAATAATGAAATAAATGATTTTTTTTTAAATTTCCATTCCTTGTTGAGACAAATTGTTTTGAGAGTTTGTCCATGACAATTGCTACAATTGCTGTCAATAGAGGATGATAATAAATAATTCAAAATATATGGTTACAATATATATTAATATAATGATATATTAAAAATTAACTTACAAATTTCTTTAGAAGTTTTCATGCATTGATAAAATTTTGATGGAGAAAATTTCAATTCTGGTCCATTGACTATTAGTGGTCTATTAATTGCAGCACTTGACTATTAAAACTGTTAATGTAGTACCTTGACTATGCGATTTCTATCAATTTTGGTCACTCCGGCCAAATCAATGGCGAATTTCCACCGGAAAAATTTTAGTCAAACATTTCTCCGATTTGGCAGGGGCAAATAAGACATTTCATGTGCTAATATGGTTTGTATATCCGGATTGTTGACCCTGTAAATACCCGACCCGTTTCTTTCTTCTGAGCAGATGAAGTGTCTAGTTTGTGCTTCAAACCTGCAACTTGATCCTCTAGAGTTTTCGCCTGAGCCAATGTTTGTAGCTTACTCTCTTCCAATTGCTTTACATCGTTTGATTTGGACTCCATTTTCTCTTATAGGGTTCTGGTTTGAGCCATGGAGGTTTCCAGTTTCTGCTTCAAATTGGCAGCTTCATCCTCTAATTCCTTCGCTCATAGCTCGTATGTCTTGGTAACAGACAAAAGCTGTTCTTCTTTCTCCGCCAATTTGTCCTTTAAGGTGGAGCATTCTTCCCCCAGCTTCTTCGTCATGCTCTCTGCTACTTCAGATTGAACGCCCAAGTCTTTGATGAACTGCTCTGTTGCCGGCACCGACGTAGGCGATCCCGGCCGCGAAACGGAATCCACGTTTACAGTCTCCTTCATCACTACTTCCGTGGTGGATGTTAATGTGTCCTTTAGGATGACATTCTCTGCGGCGTCAGGCGGCGGCGGCGTTGTTTCTGCAGCCGCCTTGAGGCTGCGGTTGCTGGCCTTCCTCCTGAGGTCGCCGCTGGATGAGCCGCCCCGGCGAGAAATATGACTCGGAAACGGGTCGGGTATTTACAGGGTCAACAACCCGGATATACAAACCATATTAGCACATGAAATGTCTTATTTGCCCCTGCCAAATCGGAGAAATGTTTGACTAAAATTTTTCCGGTGGAAATTCGCCATTGATTTGGCCGGAGTGACCAAAATTGATAGAAATCGCATAGTCAAGGTACTACATTAACAGTTTTAATAGTCAAGTGCTGCAATTAATAGACCACTAATAGTCAATGGACCAGAATTGAAATTTTCTCAATTTTGATGTGTAAACTTGTTCAATTGGAGCTAGTAGGATGTTAACATTGTCAATTATTTGGAAAATGATCCTATCGTTTTAGCGTCCATGTATTATTGTATTTATGATCAACAATTTTGTAGTTAGGCCGCGCAAGTCTGACAATGATGTAAGAACAATTTTGTCTGATAAAAAAATAATAGTATAATATTTATAAAGTAATGTACAATTGTATCATTATAAAAAAAAATACAAAAAATATTAATACCATAATGGCCTAAATCATTCCAATAATGCAAAAACATAATTGAAATATTAAGTTTTGTTCTAAATAATCAGAAGAAGATTAATTTAAAAAAAAAAAAAAAAAAAAACCTTAACCTAAATTTCTTTTTTTTTTTTTTAAATAAAAAATTCAAGAAAATCAAATGATTTTAAAGTAGTTCCTGATTTATAATCTTTGAATGCTATGTATTTAGTTGAGCTAATTATTTGACCAAAGTTTATGTTAAATTTTATATTATATATATTTTTTAATACATTTTAACATATTCATAATATATGTTTAACAATTATGCCAACTCTACTTGGGATGAGGTTCAAACCTAAGACCTTATATAAATTAAGAGTATGTTAAGAATAATAAATAGTTAATGGAATATTCCGTTACTAAAGTTTAAACTAACGGACTTTAGGATTATTTAAGGGAAGAAAATAATATAATAGAGGGTAAATAAGGAAAATCATTAAAAGATACTAAAATCAAAATAATATGAATCATTCATTTTAAGAAACAATTAGTACCGACATTTTTTTTGTTCCAGTTAAGGGCTTAACATTATTCGCTCTTATTAAATTTGTAGATTTGTAGATAAATTTGCTAGTATTACAATCTCTTTTGTTAAACGTTATGCAAACGGAATAGTCCACTTGTTAACCCGAGACTCTATTTATAATTCTGATCTTAAGGAATGGTTCTTTAAACCTCAGGACTTTATTTGTAATTATATTCTCTCTATTCTGATCTTTCATAATGAAGTAGTTTCTTCTTTCCAAAAAAAAAAAAAAAGAACATTTACTGATAATACTTTTCTTTTTTAATAATGCATTTAGTATTTCCACGTACTACTATTCCTCTCTAATCCGTACAATGCAGTACTCAGTAAAATTCCCAGAATTTCAACTGAAACTTCTTCACCCCTTCCAAGTGGTCCCAATTCTTGACCAACTTGCTTAAGTCTGTTCTAAATGTATAGTTTAAGACCGCCACCACGACACGACCTTTCTCGTTGCGTTCTCACCATTTCCCGACAAATTATAAGAGATAGATCGAATTGAAGGCAAATTCGTGAATTGAATCGAAGGGTCAGCGCCATCGTCTGATCAGATCGAGCTTAATTAATTACTACTGTATGTATATCGTCTCAAAAGCTTGAAAAGACATCTATCTATAATCTATCCCGGCGAGGCATGGCCACAACGGCGGCATATGAAGTCACGGCGGCGGTTCCGGCGTGGCTAAACAAAGGCGACAACGCATGGCAAATGACGGCGAGCACCCTGGTGGGGCTCCAGAGCATGCCGGGCCTCGTGATTCTCTACGGGAGCATAGTGAAGAAGAAATGGGCGGTGAACTCGGCTTTCATGGCTCTCTACGCCTTCGCCGCGGTTCTCATCTGTTGGGTTCTTCTCTGTTACCGCATGGCGTTTGGCGATAAGCTTTTGCCTTTCTGGGCTAAGGGCGCTCCCTCTTTAGGCCAGAAGTTCCTCATCAAACAAGCCCGGATCCCGGAAAGCACGCACTATTATGAAAACGGGGAGATTGAAGCTCGCATGATTGAGCCCTTTTATCCCATGGCGACGGAGGTTTATTTCCAGTTCACGTTCGCCGCTATTACGATGATCTTGCTGGCCGGTTCAGTTCTGGGCCGGATGGACATCAAAGCTTGGATGGCTTTTGTGCCTCTTTGGCTTGTGTTTAGCTACACGGTGGGGGCGTTTAGCCTCTGGGGCGGCGGCTTTCTCTTCCACTGGGGCGTTATTGACTATTCCGGCGGCTATGTTATTCACCTCGCTTCAGGAATTTCTGGCTTCACAGCTGCTTATTGGGTACACTTTTAATCCCAATCATATTTGACGAATTTGAGATTCAATTTGACAGATATGATGTTTTTTTAAGGTTGGGCCGAGGTTGAAGAGCGATAGGGAGAGGTTTCCGCCGAATAACGTGCTGTTGATGCTGGCGGGGGCGGGGCTTCTGTGGATGGGGTGGTCGGGTTTCAACGGCGGCGCACCCAACGCCGCCAATCTCACGGCTTCTTTAGCGGTGCTAAACACCAATATTTCCGCCGCCACCAGTCTTCTGGTCTGGACAACTCTCGACGTCATCTACTTCGGAAAGCCGTCGGTGGTCGGAGCTGTTCAGGGAATGATGACCGGACTTGCCTGCGTAACTCCCGGCGCAGGTACCTATTCATTTCCGCCAAATTATACCATCAACCAGGACCTACCTACCTTGTATTGTGGATATCCTAATCCAACAATAATTTTCAAATTCACCTGCAATTAAGGGTATGTTTGGAAACCCAAAAAATAATTTCTGGGAATTATTTTTCGAGTTTCCAATGTTTGGAAAGAAAGAAAATTTGAAGTCAACTAAAAATGAGGTATTAGTCAATGGAAAATGAACCTATTTTTAAGGAAAACAACTTCCCTTTTAAGAAAGGAGAAGTCATTTTCATATGTTGACTTCTTCATTTCTTCATTTCAGTAGGAAAATTCAGTCAACGGAAAACATTTTTTGTTGACTAGGGTAAATAAAGCTATTTTTAAATTATACAATTCTACTCTTTCAAAAAATAAACCAAACACACCAAGTTTTCTAAAATGCAACCAAACACGAGAAAGAAAAATGTTTTATAAAAAATGACTCGTTTTTCAAAAAACATTTTCTACAAGTCATTTTCCTTCTTTCCAAACAGACGCTAAATAATTTTTAAACCAAATTCATAATGCATAATGAACCCTGAAACAATGATATTAACAATTATTAATTTCTCCACCCCTCCTTCTAAAACCCATGAAAATAATTAAATTTCGGAAATAGTATTTGTCACATTATATATGGATCAAATATTGTGTGTGTTTTGCCTTTTAACTAGGTGTTGTTCAATCTTGGGCGGCTATAGTGATGGGAATACTTTCAGGCAGCATTCCTTGGTTCACCATGATGATCCTCCACAAGAAATCTACCTTTCTGCAACAGGTTAGTTTGTTTTAACTTTTATAAGTTAATGGACTTTATTCTAATTTAATAATAAAAATAATTGAAAAGAAGAATAGTATATTATTTTAATTAAAATTTTGAGAATGTGAAAATATGGGGCCGGGATTGGTCAAAGTTAGAGGCTGCTAAAAATTAAATTGGGTTGGTGGTTGGTATTTCAGCACATCATTTCTTCCAATCACTTTGAATCATCCATGTGAATAACTAAAAAAAATTCATTCTTAATATATTAAATATTCAATTTTAATGTACTAAACATTTATTTTTAAATATATTACAAACTTTTAATACATTAATAATAAACATCAAACATACTAAAAATAAATATTTAGTTGTGATTCAATAATTTGTATATATCTTTATGTGTTTCTTTCTTTAATGGAAAATACTTATTTTGTTAGGGAAAATGACACTTCTTCCCCCTACGTTATATACTTATAGCACTTTCTCCCCCTCAATTATTCAAGTGGCTGTTTTTCCCCCTAAAATGTTAAATGGACATATTTACCTTTAAAATAAATATTTAAAATAAATATTTCATTTATTTTCATTCTCCAACAAATTATGACAATAATTTGGTTCAAACCAAACAAACACTATAGCAACCAAACCGAAATATTCCAATTACAATTTAGAATCGAAACTCGATATTTAGAGTTTATTAAAATCGCAAACCGGAACGGACGATTCATGTTCCGAACTGAAAAAATAAAATACATTTATTGTTGAATTTAGATTATTTAAAATAAAAAATAAAATTTTAAAATAAAGACGGTTCAAAATCGCGAACCGGATCCAGAACCGCCGATTCACAGTTCAAGATCCAATTTTTTTTATTCATAATTTTAATAAATTGAAATCCAAATATTAGGTTCTAGATTTGAATCATAACCGAAAACTTTTAATTCAATTGCTATAGTGTCCGGTTCAGTTTGATCTGAACCGTGGTCATCCCTACGTATACGCGATAATTTGTTGGAGAAGTAAAATAAATAAAATGTTTACTTTAAGGGTAGAAATGTCAATTTAATATATCAGGGGAAAAATCACCACTTTTAGAATAATTGAGGGGGCTAATGTGCTTACCTAAATAATTGAGGGGAAAAATGACTATAAGTATATAACTAGGAGGAAAAAGTGATATTTTCCCTATTTTGTTAACATCAAATATCTCTCCTGATATTACTAAATTAAAGAATTTTTACTAAATACAAAACTGTTAAGACCCTATTTGGTAACATAGTTAGCTTATTAGTCAATTTTGTATTATTTAATCACTATTAGTTGTTTGATTTGGTTAAACAACAAATATAAATGTTTGATTAATTAGTTTATTGTAACAATTTATTGTTTCTAACGCTAAAATTTAAAAAGCTGCTCAAAATAACTTTTTCGATTAATATTTTAAAAAAGTTATTTTGTGTGTAATTAATTATCAACTAACAGTTAATTTATCAAACATCTTTCTACAATCAACTAATTAAACTCTCTAACTCAATCGAGTAACGACTAATTATCAAACACTCCTAAATAATCAAAATATTTTAATGAGTAAAAAACACAACTTTGCTTATTCCAAGTAAAATGGCAAAAAAAAAAAAAATTAAAAAGGTACAAATTAAAGAGGTGTCTAAAACTGTAAAACATTCTTCTTTTATTTCATCATTTTTTTTGAGAACCTTTTATTTCATCATTATATTGGATAAGTCAAAATTGATGACATCATCCACTCCCGGACTTTTCAACTTTATCCATATAATCTTTTTTACCCATCGTCTTCTCCCATCACATCACATCACGTCACGTCACGTCAGATTTATTTTTAAAACAAGCTGTCATAATATAATAACTGGATTTGCTATTAATATATTAATTAATCTTAAATGTTAATTTTAATTTTAATTAATACTCCGTATCATACTACTAATTTTGCTTAATTAAAGAATTTGTCCATTTTTTATTTTTATTACGTTGTCAAATGATGATATGTGGTCACTTTTTTTTTTTTAATTAAACATATAAAAAATCATCCATATATAATTTTACATGTCTTATTTAGAGTTAATTACCGAAATGATCCCTTGACTATATCGAAATTACCAATTTGGTCCTTGACTATTTTTTTGATCAATTAAGTCCCTCAACTTTAAAAATCTTAACCAATTTAGTTCTCTTTTTGTTTGACCGTTAGTCAACTGTTAACTTGTGACCAAATTGGTAATTCGCTATAGTCAAGTGACCATTTTGGTAATTAACTTTAAGGGTGGGCAATTCAGTTCAGTTTTATCGAACCGAACCGTACCAAACTAGTTAGATTCTGTAATATACTGAACAACCGAACGCTAATAGATTCTTGTATACCGAACGGTTCAGTAAAAACTCGAACCGAACTGAATTGTTCGGTAAAACCGAACCGAACCGAATATCGTTTGAACTTTGGATTGCTATTTTGTTATATATTATACTTTGGATATGAATTATGTAAACACCATAGCGCATAATATAGAACTTTTGATAACAAACCATAAAGAAATCAAATAAAACATTTACGAGAGATACCCGTGAGAATATGAGCTGAACGACAGAGCAAGCAGCAAGGGACTTGGATTTACTTTTTATTTATTTATTATTGTTATTATTATTATTATTATTATATATTTTTTAAAATCATACGGTATTTGGTTCAGTTCAATTTTTTACCGAACAATTCGGATCGGTTTTTTATCGAACTGTTCAGTATACAAAAATCCAATACCGTTCGATTATTCGGTATATTACCAAACCAAACTAGTTTCGTTCGGTTCGGTTCGGTTCGGTACGGTTCGATTCGAGAAAACTAAACCGAATTGCCCACCCCTAAAGTTAATTACCAAAATGGTCTCTTGACTATAGCAAAATTACCAATTTGGTCCCAAGTTAACGGTTGACTAACGGTCAAACAAACGGAGGACCAAATTGGTTAACATTTTTAAAGTTAAGGGACTTAATTGGTTAAAAAATTAATCAAGTACCAAATTGATAATTTTGCTATAGTCAAGGGACCATTTTGATAATTAACTCTCCTATTTACTATTCATTAAATTAATGCACTGCCGCATCAGCTCAATTTGCGCTTATGCGCTAAATAAAATAAAAATATAAAATATCCGGTTAGAACCGTCGTTTGAACTTGAACCGCGGGTTCTGGAACCGGACATGAACCGTCTAAATAAGGTTTCTGTTCCATCTATCTTGGAACAGTGAATCGGGGTTCCAAATTGAAATTGGACCGGAACTGAAGCGTGGGCATCTTTAAGTACCAGAAGTGTTATCACATTACATAATAACCGCCAATTGGCTAAGAGATTTGATGTTGTGTGTAACGGTTGGTCAGGTGGATGACACTCTAGCTGTGTTCCATACACACGCAGTGGCAGGGCTACTAGGTGGACTACTAACCGGGCTATTTGCAGAGCCAACACTTTGCAGCCTGCAACTAAGAGTGACCAACACAAAAGGGGCTTTCTACGGTGGAGGAATTCAATTTGTGAAGCAATTGGTGGCTGCTCTTTTCATCATTGGGTGGAACATTGTCTCCACCACTATCATCCTTCTCCTCATACGACTGGTTATACCCCTGAGGATGCCGGACCACCAGCTCATGATCGGAGATGACGCCGTTCACGGCGAGGAAGCCTATGCGCTTTGGGGTGATGGAGAGAAATATGACCCAAATAAACACGGCCCTGACTCCCCTGAAAGGGCTACAACTTCTGGTATTGGCAATGGTGCTAGAGGTGTAACTATAAATCTGTAAACAATATAATGATGATGATCAATTCATAATTCATTTGCATGATAGTACTACATCTACATGTTCCTAGATTATTTCATTCAAATCATATAAGGTTGGTTACAAATTCTTCAAAATTTGACGTTCACTTATGGCCTTAGAGCACCCACATCTGTGAATTTTGCTCTAATTTTTACAGGTCAAACTCATTCAATGGTTTTTAAACAAATGGGGCAAATGATTTTTGTTTTTCTTGTTTTTTCTCCCGTCAGACACAAGTTTTTTGTGAGTCCTGCAAGAGAGAGAAATTAAAGAACAAAGCTCCATTTATACGCGTTTGGTGCACATTCAGCGCCCAGCGCGTGCAGTGCACACGCCAGTTGGGTGCATTCACCTGTCATTTTTTTTTTTAATAATTTTGTTTTCAGATTTTGTTTTTTCTTTATTTTTTTTTTCTTTTATCCATTCCTCTCATTTTCTTTTTCCTAGGTCTACCTACAAAACTCATAAAAAACTTAACAATTGAGGATGCCCGTATTATGGTCCATATATGAAGCAATCCAATGAATATGTGTGCAACTCTGTGGAAAATTGATAATTTATTAACAAAGAAAATTGAAATTTGAAGAAAGAAAAGTAGATAATTTAAAAAAAGGAAAATGACACTTTTTCCCCCATGTATTGTTTGCTTATAGCACATTTCCACCCTGTGTTATGTATGCAATCACTTTATCCCCTTCAATTATTTCTAAAGTGGCTATTTCTCCCCCTCTCCGTTAAATAAATATTAGGGCTATTAAAAATGAGGGTAAAAATGGTATTTCACTTTTTTTTTTTTTAATGAAGATTTGTTAGCTTCTCCAACAAAAAATTACTCCACCCTGGCTAATTACAGCTAGTTTCCTTCCTGATATTTCACTTCCTTCCATTAGAAATTCATATTTTACTGTATTAATGAAAATGTACTCCATAATCCATTCTCATCCGTCGACTTTTGCATCCCCTTTATATATATAATAGTCATATAACACAGATTATTAAAATAATTTTATAAATAAAAAATATAAATAATTAAAATTGCATTGTGGTATTTATTTCGTCTTGCTGGAAAGTATATGCACTATATTATTACGATTAGTAATTATATATAGCCATATAACACAGATTATTAAAATAATTTTGTAAATAAAAAATATAAGTAATTAAAACTGCATTGTTGTATTTATTTCGTCTTGCTAGGAAGTATATGCACTTTATTATTATGATTAGTAATTTTAATCTAAAATTATATTAGGAATAGGAAAGTAAGAAGGAATATATTAACCATGTTTGATAAATGACGGATTCACCAATTTTTTTGACAAATTTGTCATTTTTTGACGTTTTGAACATGTCAAAATGTCAAAATGCCTTTGCTTTTGCAAACGCTGCAATTTGAAACATGTGCAATTGACGTTTTGGGAAAAATTTAAATTTTTCCCAAAACACCTATAGTAATATGAAAAAAAAAAAAAAAAAAAAAACTCCAGAGCGAGGAGCTCCTCATTGTTGCCCAAGATAAAGAAATGCTAATATGAAAGAAGCCTTGAGGCTCCTTAAATATGAGCCTCAAGGCTCCGTTCCCACTTTTCCTACCGATGTGGGGGTGGTGAGACTCATGGTAAAACAAAAGGAGAGTCGCGCAAGCTGCTCCCTTCTTTTATTATTATTATTATTATTATTATTATTATTATTATTATTAGTAATTTTAATGTAGAGTTGTATTAGAAATAGGAAAGTATGAAAGAATATATTGTATTAGGAATTGTATTACCATATTTTAATGTGCAATTGTAGTACAAATATGAATTGTATTATCATAATTTTACAATATTTCACAAACCTTAATGGCCCGTTTGGTTCGCAGAATAGGCCTGGAATGGAATAGCATTCTCGGTAATAGGCCTATTCCGGTGTTTGGTAGAGATTTCTATTCCCAGGAACATTGTCCCTAGGAATGACCTATTCCCGGTAATAGGCCTATTAGGGTTCATGTATGCCATTGCTTGGCTATTTCTTTGATTCAAGTCATTTTGTTGTATTTGGTGAGATTTTGGATGTTTTGGACTTGAATTTGAGCTTGGTGTTGAAAATCCCAGAAGGATATTTTGTTCAGGGTTCGGTACCCGCGGGCGGAACGGCAGGTAGGGGTCCACCCGCTGCCCCACCCGCGGGGTACGTTGGTCGTGGGATGTGGTTCCCGTGGGCGGAACCACAGGTGGGGGTCCACCCGTGGCTCCACCCGCGGGGTACGTATATGGTGGTGGTTGGGGATTTGTTCTCCGTGATTCTTTTGACTCGGTATTCGATGCTTTGACTTCCCGATGTTTTTTTGTGGAACTATTTGAGTGTCTTCTTGATGTTTCGTATGTCTAGAACTATATGGTAGGATTCCATGTAGGTTTTGGTGTGTTGAATCGTGCTAAGTGTTCAACCTCGTGATTTATTGAACCGTGATGAGTCTTGTGTGTTCTTTGGAACGATGTTTAGTTTACCCGTTTGATAAGCATGCTAGTTCGGTGTTTAAATGCTAGCGTGTGTTGTTTATCCTTTCCTATTGTGGATGATGACTTGTGTTGATCACGTTGTTGTCGGATTGTGATCCTTTCCTTGTTGAGTATGCTTTCATATCTTCGTTGTGATCCGTTGATTGATTCCTATGATGGTGTTGTGTGTGTGGTTGTACCTGGATTGCACGATTAATGGAATGGGACATTAGTCACCAAGGTACGACAGTGGTCCTCGTGGTGGCCATGACGTGATTATGGAGTTTGTGACCTGTGTGTCGGGTTCACGTATTTCTTCGGAGGCATGTGTTGCCAAAGTGTGTGATCGGTACCCTCGTGTACTATGAATTGGTGGAAATTGTTGGCGGTTGTCGGCGGATGGGGACGACGGTCCTCGGAGGGATAAGGTTGGACTTGGCTGTACAGGGGTCCTGGAGGTAATGGTTGGAACTAGCTATAAGGTTGGGGGTAACCATAAGGTTGGAACTGGGCATAAGGAAGGATTATTGTATTTGTGACATGTGTTGTCACGAAGGCATGTGTTGCCGATGTGTGTTTCCTTATCCGTGACGAGTGATGTCACGAAGGCATGTGTTGCCAATGTGTGTCTTTATTCTCTTGTGTCGAGCATGTCGGGTGATATTCTACTGAGTAATGGTAGAATATACCTTGAGCCTTACTTGTGTGGTCGTTGTTACTTCTTGATGTCTTGGGATGTGTTCCCTTATTCTTGTTGAGAGTGTTATAGAGTCTTTATGGTTGACTTCTATCTTTGACTTTGAACTTATATATACAGTATTCCGTTTCGAAATGATTTTGCAATAAACTATCTATCTATATATGCTATTGACGCGTATTGATGGGTTACCAGCATCATTCGCTGACCGGGCGTCGTCCCATTTATTTATGTGCTTTTCAGGTCCCGAGTAGTGACGAGCGCGTTATAGAGATGGCTAGTGTAATTCCCCGGACTCTGTTAGTTTTGTTATGGGCATGTGTGCCTCTTATGATGAACAATAGATTGTTGTTGGTTTGACCTTGTCTCTTGTTAGACTTTTAGACTATTGATGTTGATGATGTTCTTGCCTGTGCGTTCACCTTAGTGTGGGCGTGGCAAAACACTCTTCGTTTTCCAGTTTTATATAGTTAGACTTCCGTTGTGTTTTGATTATATTGTGGTTAGATTATCTTGCATATTTAAGTTTAAAATGGCATGGAAATCGGGGGTGTTACAGCAGGCGGTCTTTTACTTGTTTGGAACAAAAATCTCCTCAACTTATAAGTGGTGGGAAGCAATTCTCAAACTATTCACTGTAAAGTCACGGAGGGTGAAAACTCGTTTATGTATCACTCTTTCGCATACGTTAGGCCTAGTTTGAGGGCCAAAGAAGTGTTCTGGCACGACTGTAGAGTCTTTACTGAGTCCATTTCTGGGTCGTGGGTCATACAGGGGGACTTCAACGACATTGTGAAAAGAAATGAGCACTAGGGAAACGATCATGCTAATCCCCATAATCTGAACATGTTCTGTACAGCTTTTGGGAACTGTGGTCTCATGGAAGTAAACTTCATGGGACCGTCCTTCATGTGGTGTAGACATATTGGGGGCCTTTTAGTCACTAGACGTAAACTTGACCGTGTCTTCTGGAACATTGAAGCCCAAGAGGCTTTCCCGGAAGCTAAAGCCAAAGTCCTTACTAGAACTCATTCGGATCACCACCCTATTGCTTTCATTAGTCATGCTGGATCGGCCCCGGTAAGGGGTAATAGGCCTTACCGGTTTGAAGCAGCTTGGCTTACTCATGACGACTACAAAGGGATTTAGAAAATAGCCTGGAATGACAGAGATGGTAATGTGGTGGAAGCCATCGAAGAAGTTACAAGGCTTAGCAAACAATGGAATGAAGAGGTGTTTTGTAATATTTTCAAAAGGAAACATCAGCTGCAAGCCAGATTACAAGGTATCCAAAACTTGACTTGGTATCACTCCCTGGGGCTCCAAGTGCTGGAAAAGAAGCTTAAGGAGGATCTTAATGAAACCCTAGCCCAAGAAGAGCTCCTTTGGTTTCAGAAATCCAAGAAAGCTTGGATCAAAGACGGGAACAAGAATACCCGCTTCTATCACCGTTCCACTATCATTCGGCGAAACAGAGGAAGAATCAGAGCCCTCAAAATTAACGGCGAATGGAATACCGATGGTAAGACTCTTAAAGATCATGTCATCCATTTCTTTTCTAACCTTTTTTGTAGGGCCAACCAGGATGGTAACGCACCAACGAGCCATTACGGAAATAGGCTCGATCCGATAGAAGCCGAGAAGTTTGTCCGTCCGGCTGACATAGACGAAGTTAAAGCTGCAGTTTTCGGCATGAAACGTATGGGTAGTCCAGGCCCTGATGGCATTCAGGCAGCGTTCTATCAAGACTTATGGCAGGAGGTAGGTGGATCTATAACTAAGATGGTGAATGAGTCCCTTACTTCGGCCACGATTCCGTCTACTTTATTGGAAGCTTTCATCACCTTGATATTGAAAAAAGACAATCCGGAAACCGCTGCAGAC